TGCAGATGCACACCACCTATACCGCATTTTGTAGCCACAAGCAAAAGCACTTCTCTATATTAAATCTCACCTGGGGGAGTGCTTCAAATTCATCTAAAATAACTGGAACTACAACAATATGTTTTCAACAGTCTGGTCATAATTAATAGTTTCTATAAAGTCAGAGTCAGGGAACTAAGTAAAAACATGAAACCCTCATTTTTCAAGTAATCATCTCTCACTTCTCTTCATCTTCTGCTATATCTAAACTTTTATTACTTTTCATGATCCTCAGTTTGAGTCACAGCCTTATTTTATAATCCCTTACTTTGTTACACCTTTACACTCTTACCTAGCCCTTTTCTTAAATCACTTTTTCTTTAGAATTCATCTCTGATTTCAAGTTCTGTGAAGATAACCCACTGTCACCATAAGGACACCTTGTTATGCCTTCAACTTCAGGGAATCCCACAGTTCTTTAGCCACCCTTTACTTACTGTGTTATCTTTCCAAAAGCATTACTAGTTTCCCAAACTGTGAAGCTGGACAATCTTCTGATGTCCAATATCCCCATGGTCCTTTTCCCACCTCTCTCTCTTCACCAAAAAGTGCATATTACCATGGCATGATCACTTTCACACCAACTATCTTCTGGCTTCCTTAGCCCATTCTTCCTTGGCCATAATGATAAACCTGAACTGATGGCTGCCTTAACATTTTAAACATGTACAGATAACATCAATCAAAGGAAATTTGTGAAGCTCTGTCTGTATCCCAACCCTTCTTTCTCCACCGACAGGAAAATTAAAGTCTTCCTTTATTTTAATTTATTGCCTTTGGGGTATTTCTGTCCAAAAAAAAATGCACTTTCAAAAACAGTGTTCCTCAATGTGTTCTCTATATTTCCAGGCAAAAGTTTGTCCCTTGTCTCTCCTCAGCTTCAGAGTGGGTATGGATGGTTTTGACATGTAACACTACATTGCCTTTTTTTCATCCCTACCTGCCCTTCAAAAAAAGTGTTCTCCCATATCAACGAGTAATCTTTTGCTTTGCCTGACCTTGTCTTACAGATTTTGCTTAAACCACTGAATAAAAAAGAACATAAAAAAGAAATTGAAGAAATGTTGCCATAATAATGAAACAACTAATTTGAATTATCTGTCAAATTCTGTACCATTCTACTTCCAGGAAGAGCAGTTCATTGCTTTTTGTACCAATTTACATGTAAAAATAGTGAATGTTTAGAAAATTTGAATTAGAAGTAAATATATTAATATCAGGAAATAAAATGCTATGTTTAATTTGATTATATTTTTGTTCCATATTCCAGTTTCACAGGATAATTTATCTTTTCTTTACCCTTGGAATGGAGACAATTCCAAAACCATGAAATGTTCCACAAAAAGGGAAATATGGCTTCTAATTCTATTTATACCCCGAGCCCTACTGCTGCTGCTAGTAAAGAAGCAGTCACAGGCTCCTTGAGCACTGCTCCTGGTACAACCACATCCAAATTCAGTTTCAAGTATTGCTCTTGTACATCTCCCACAGACTTGTGCCCTGGGCAAGGCACAGCATTTTCTCAGAAAAGGCAGAAAAAAAGAAGGGGAAGAATGAAAAAATGTCATGAGGAGCCAACCGAGATGCTTAATGCATCTGCAGGTATGAAAGAGAAAGAAAAGAGAAAAACAAAAATAATAAAGAAAACTAGGGAAAAAAACAGGAAATAAACATCCAAAAACCAGAAGAAATCTGTAACTGTGCCTGTCTTGCCAAAAGAAGCAGCAGCACACGTCTATCAAAGCTGGTGGGTCACTTCACCCATCAAAGGTATAAACAGCAAAAGGCTCAAGCAGAACACCAGATATGTTCTCACAGATCTTCCATTGGGTCAAACCTGCAAGTCATTGACAACTCCAAACACAGTCTGTGATAATAAAGTGTTCTGGACTATTCTGGAGACACAGCTAATTCCATCATTTGAAAAAATTTTCTTTTACACAGATTTATACAGGAATCACAAGTGTTCTTGCTTTTGAAAAGCTACCTGGAACGCTTAACATAGAATTTATGTAGAATCGCTACCTAAATGAAAACAAGGGATGATTTAGCATTTCTAGATAAATAAAAACAAAAAGTGCAGATTATGAAATATAAATTCAAAAGGGGGTGGGTGGGTAGTTAGAAATACATTTATTTTTTTTCCCTTCTAATCTCCATTACTTTTGACAGTTATTGCAATATTGAAACATTACCTGTTTCAAACCGGGAAAGTGGACACAAAAATATATATACTTTTAAGCAGTAAGGTTTTCGTTACTTCAACTGCAAAGAGGGCATATGAGGGCATGATGCTGCCTGAAAAGACCCATCCCTGTGTATTCTCTTACCCTAGAAAACCTGCCAGGTAATGTTTCAGCCTTCCAACCCCACACAATAAATTTAACTCCCAATTAACCAGCCTTTTTCTAAAGATGACCGAGTCCTTTCTCACCAGCAGTGGCATCCAACCAGAACAGATACTTCAGCAGACACCTGGGTTATTGAAAACTAGCAAACAGGATTTTGTCAGTACAGCTGTTTGTTCATTTGCTGTGTAATTACCAGCCATATAGATTTAAAGTTAGCTCATCCAAAGCTTGGTGATTTTGCTTACCTAACAAAATTTAAGTGATAAAATTCGTTCCACCTCTAAAACTTAACTCCTACTCTACCACATGGGAAGGTGCACGAGAGAAAAAAAGCCAAACATGAATTTTTATTGGATTGTCAGTGCAGAGAGAGTAAAGTAGATTTAATTAAAGTAAGAAGATAATAAAATCTCTTATTGAAATAATACCATGCTATATAATCATTCTTACTATAGCAAGGTAAGTCCAAGTTTCAGGTCCTCGTTAGCTTGATGAGAGGTGGGAGACAGATTATGTGGAAAGGTGCTCTGGGTCAGCAGATCTCAGTAGTCCAAGCTGTCCAAAGTCCTTCAGTGGTTCCCTGAAGTGAAAAAGGCCTGAAAAGCCTGTTTACAATCCAGTGCTCTTCATACAAGGAACCCCCATGGAAAAAACTGTCCCTCTGTTCTCTTCCTGCTACTGCCCCTTCAATCAGTCAACCCTATAGCTCTCTTTCCTTGCAATGGGATCCTTAAGTCACAGGGTGAACAGGGAAGTGTAGGGTCCTCAATCTGCTCAGGGCAAAAAAAAGGACTGGCTAAGGTTCTGGTCCACCTGCATAATGGACTTCTACTCTTGTATAAACACATCAAAAAGAGCTGATTTGACTGTTGGTAATTAAAAGTTAATGCCGTTCTGCCAATCGCAGTAAGAATCAGAATCATCTTTTCCATCAAATATTCATGCAGTTCCCACCACCACTAATTGGAAACATGTACATGGAAAGCTTAATCAGTGTATCCCCCATGGGGGGATGCACACTTAAATAAGAAGCAAGCCCTGAGGAACCTCCATCTTTCTACAGATGCATCCAGGAGATGCTCAATGTACCTTCTTCTCACAGCTTTAAGCACTCACATACCCACACTTCTGTTAAAGAAAGGACAGCCAAGACATTTCCCCTTCCTTTTGCCTGCAAAGACTTCTTCAAGGTTTTGTGAATTTGAAAAGCTTCTCCAATTGTCTGTCTGGATTTAATTGCATTTCGAGATATTTATAAATTATGTGCAGTGATGTTTTCCACTAGAAATTTATACTCTAAATTCACATGCTGCTCTCATAGCTTCCCTACCCAATCTTTAGCTACAAAGGAGAAAAAACAAAAGCTTCCAAAAGAGAAGCAGAACTGACACCTTGTGTGATTTCTCTGTGTATATAGGAGTGTGCACACATAAGTGCATGAGTGTTGAAGGCTTTTACCATGATCTTACAGATTCAGGCTTTGTGAAGTGAATTTTAACATTTCAACAATACCAGCAGCAGTAAAAAATTCACAATCGCTCCCTCTCTATAAATGTTTAGGGAAATATGCCCTGTATTATCTTTATGTGAATATAAACACTGACTCTCTGGGCATCTTGCTGATGCTTTGTAGTGGGTCATTACAGCAGCTGACAAACCAGGAGGTACTTAAATATAACAAGGACAAGAAAGAATTTATAAAGCCTTTACAAGCAGGGATTTCACTCACTTTCCCTAACCCCTATTTAATTACAGAGCCTGTCTAATGCCACACAATACAATTTATAGTTACTATTAAAAGTTGCCTATCCAAAATTATTAGCTAGGTGCAAAGAAAGGAGAGAGAAATTAACAAAGGAATTGGCTATTAAATTAGACACTATGCATTTAAAAGATAAAAATAAGACAGTGAACACTGTTCTTTTTTAATTAGATGTTTTGCTATCTTTAAATAAATCACTATTAAAACCAGGAATTTATAAAATACTGCAATTTACCGGTGATTTATAAGTTACTATATATGGTACAACATTTCATTGTTTTTTAAATAAGAATCTGAACAGATTCCCATTAGGGCATCCTGGCACTAAGGTAAAACAATCATTGTAGCAGGACAGGGTCCCATTTGCTGCAGAGGGGAAACATTATACTTTGAATTTAAGCTATTCTGGATCTTGGCCAATACACTAACACAGTTCTGCACTAGAGAAAGCCTGTGTATCATGTAAATACATAATTGAGTGGACTAAGCTCACAAGGCTTTCACAGCAGTGGAGGGTGAGCTTCTGCCAGAGAGATGCCTGTATTTGAGATTTCTTTTGAGATATTCTCTGTTTCCTAAATAGAGAATGAAACAGTCTCAGCAGGAAGGTAAAAATAAGTCTCCCAGCTGTTCTGAGGTATATTGGAAGCTTTATCTTGACCTCTGGTGTTCAACCTATGCCAATTCAACTAAGACAGACAAGCAATGACACCACAGAGTTTGAACCTTGTGCCATTCAAAGGGAAAAATGCTACATATATGCTCAGTTTGGTGTGTCAAAACATATGAAACAAAAGATGGTGATGAGTGAATGTAGCAAGCTGTGTTTTCTCTTTTAACTTTCTTACCTCATTTACATAGACCCAGTGACTATCCTTTGATGCAAGGTTGGTTTCCACAGCCTACAAAAATAAAAAGAAACATAATAATAAAAATAAATAAATTTATATAAAAATGTACTATAAAGCTAATTTTGATTGTTTTCATTGCTACTGACATTGTTTCAGTATAGTTCTTTTCATCTCTTCCTCTGCTGCTTCATGGAGCAGTAGCTAATTGGTAGTAGCCACCTTTCTCTGACTTCAGTTCCTAAACCAAAGTACCCTGCCTGTGTCCATGTACTACTAAAGCACACTGGTGCAGGGTGGTAGATCAGCATAAGGGATCCTGGGATGAATAACTGTACAGAACATGCAGTTCAGGAGATCTAACTTCTCTATGGTATATCTAATACCTCCGACTCAGCTGTGTTTCTTTTCAATATGCCTCCCAAAATATATTGCCTCTGGCTCACTACACCTCTGATAGTCTATCTGTTAACTAACCTAGTTAATTAAAAACTTGTCAGTGAGATGCTCAAGTGAAGTTCACACATTTATAAGAGAGTTCATCTGCTCTTCATATTTACATAAGGCTCAAGATGAAGTTATGATTTGCATGGTCACTTTTTTTTGACCATGCAAATACCAGTCCTCCTGGTATGAACTTGGATAATCACTACATAAAGGAACATCCCATCTCAGCAGCTTGCATATTTATCCACACATGTATAACCCACTGGGAAGCTAAAATTGGAGAAGACTGCGCTACTGGTACTGAGAGAGAACCTCAGTTGAAGGATCTCGCAATATACACAGAAGTTCCTAAGTGTCCCCTTTGTTAGACATATATAAGCTCACTTCAAGACACTTAATAGTCTAATAAAGTGATAGCAAGCATGGAGAGATGTACACTACACTGCCAGTGATATTGTTAATGTCCTGCTTAATACACGGTTAAACAATTACTACAGTGTGTTCATGTCTCCTAATAAAACAGCGCACACGTGAATTTCAGGAGGCACTTCATTACACGGTTTGGAATCTGCCTGCCTTCAACCACTTCTTTCCTCTGTGCCAGCATGACCTCATTTATTGAACAGATATTTTTATCTCTCTTTATTATAAATGGCCCTATGAATCACTGAAATTAAACCAGTTTAAAAAAAAAAAAAAAACAACAAACAAAAAACCAAAAAAACCCGCAAACAAATACAAATGAACAAAATAAACTTCCAGTTACTGGTTTTTAACCTGGATAATTTCCACAGTATTTCAAAAACTACTGCAGTGGTACTGAGAGGCTTGTACACTGTAGCACTGGGCTGAGCAGGAACATTATCAACCACCTTCCTCTTCAGAACACATTTGCATAATAAGCCTCTCAGATATTTAGTGTCAGGTGGGATGAATCACCTTCTCTTATGACACTGACTACAGATGACTGGCTTAGAATAAACGCCCACAACTTCTAAGGCTGCAGTGGAATGACAAGAGATCTATCCTTAATATAGGCTAAGGGATACCTGATCCCTTCAAAAATATGAAGTGAAACTTCACTGAGTAGCCAACACCAGCAACTTTAACATTAATCTTAGCTTACACTGTGTCCCTAAAAAAGATATAAATTGCTTCTTTCCTAAGTAACTGTGTTTTAAAATTTCACTTATTTGTGTAGCCCACACAACCGCAAGAGAAAATTGTGGGCAACACGGTATACCTGCATCTATTTCTCATGTCCACAAGCTGAAATACTCCTTTAAAGAGACTAAAAAATCCCAAGAGAAACTTCAAACTCATCGAAAGAGGAAAATCAGCACAGACAGAACAGAGTAATTCTCTTCATCATGAAGAGCAGTATAGGAAAGTAATGGAACCTGGTGTCAAAGCAGATGGGAACCACTAGAGATAACACTCCTAACAAGATAATCCTCTCCTAAACATGCAGTAAAAAATTGTCCCCTTGGTAATTGCCTCCCTTGCATTTCTTTGAAGCTGGGAGGAACATTAAGCTGACCTCCTGAGGAACAGCAGCTCATAGGAAAGACAGCAGTGATGAACAAGAGGGCAAAAATGTGTACGTTTTCTCCCTATTCACCTCCCAGATATATACAGACAAAGCCAAAATAGCCAGGTGCTGTAACATATAGAGAAAGAACAAAGTGCTGCTAGCAGAATTAAATAATGCTCAGGTGCAGAGTTATTGCACTGGCTAAATTTAATGATTCATCTGCAACAGTGAGCAATTTGTATGAATAAATGCTCAGTCTGGGGAGATGCAAGAGCCAGGGAATTTGAAATGAATTATTGAATCTCATTCTTCTGGGTTCACATATCTGGGCCAAAGTTTTTAAAATGAGGTGCCTAAATTTAGGCTGCTACGAGTTTATCTTTAGTCATCAGAGTGCCAGACCATTCAGTGCTCCTCCTACAGAGCCAATGGCTCTGCATTCTAATAGCTTGAAATGTATTTAGAAACATCACTGTAGGTAGTCAAGTCTAAACTGCTCTAAATATCTTCTGTTCAGAACTGCAACACATAGCATGAAACATTACTCAAAACGAAAACATGCTGGGAACACAAAACTTCTTGCATTTTGTGTTTCAAATTTTGTACCATATTTACAGACTTGCAATCAAAAAAAATCTTTAAAAAACCCTATTGAAAAGCTCTCAGGTTTCAACTTTCTGATATCACCAGTCTATTGCCAGAGGCTCATGAAAGTTAAACAGTGTGAAAAGCAAGGTCCTGGAGTCCTGTGTTATCACAAAGAAATTTACTGAGATTTCTCAAAGTAAGGTTTTTTTTAAATTTAAGGAGGAAAAAGGTATCAGCACTTGGGAGATTATGGTCACCCATTTTTAATTATTCAAGCTGTTCAGGATCTTGCCAATTGCTTGAGATTGTGTCCATCCATTCAAAAAGAAAAAAAATCATCTAGGAAACATCCTTGAAGGACCTAGTCCATCCTATTTGATAAATGTACCCTACAAAAAGAAAGTAGGCTATGAATTTGTTAAATCACTGCCTAAGTAAAAGCACTGCCATCTATTGGGGAAGGATTCCCCAATAGTGAAATATGCTACAGTTTCATATGAAAAAAATATTGATATATGTGCAAAATGTCCTGGTTCATTTTTATACTTTCTACATAGATGGGGTCTAGGTGACACTTGGGAGTAATGCTTCAAATTATTGCTGCCAAATAGAAAATCTGCTTTTGAGATAAACAGCACACTGAAAATTAAAGAGCATCCATCTTTCATTTCCTTTGCCTCAGAGTAGCAAATAACTTCTACAAATTTGGAAAAAAAGAGGTTTATTTGAGATTGTGTCCTTCCTGCTCTCCCACTACCTTTCAAGAACCAAATTTAAAATACAGAACCCAAACAAGAGAATTCCAATTCAGTCAGTGGACCAGTACAAGTGGCAACATATAAACGATACTATCAGAACTGGGCCAGAACTGGAAATGGAGCAGTGAATGCAGGAAACTGTTTACAATTCCTCAGCAGAAAGCATTTGCAATAGAAATGAAATAAGAAGACATTGGAAATCAAAATACGAGCATTAAGGTTTCAGATCTCATAGCAAGACTGTTAAAAAAAAAGAGCAAGAAGCTTCATGAAAAATAATCAAAGATAGTTTCATGTATATAGTTTTGTTTACTTTTAAATGTATAACTTAAAATAATTTACTGCCAATAATCCATGACAGCATTATTTTATTGGAATGCAGTGGAATACAAATACTTACATTGCCTTTATGAATAAGTAACTTGGTTCATTATTTTATCTAATGGCAGTTTCAGGATTAAAAGAAGTTAGAAAAGTAAGCAGAAATACTGTTATCTTCAGAAATAATTCTGCAGAGGGAAAAAAAAAAAAAAAAAAAGGGAACAGAAACATTCCTTTCCTGACTTTCTCAAAAGTCTGAAACTGAAAACCTCTCCAAGCATATAATGGCTGGCCAATAATAGAGAAGGCATTTTCCCACAATACCTGGCTGCTTTGCCAGGGTCAGCACCTTGCTGTTAACAGCAAAAAGCAAGCTGCATAGAAAGGGATGCAGGGATGAGTGGCTGGACACAACTGAGAGGAGATGTGGTGGGTGTTCAAAGAGACCTGGGCAGGCTGTGTCCAGTGACAGCAGGATGTGCTCAAGAGTTCAGAATTACATGCAGCAGTGTTATAGTTACAAACCTGTTGTCTCCTCCCTGTGCACCCAGGGGAACAGGCAGCAGGAATGTCTGGAAGCCCTGTAACCAACCCTGGGATCCTAGAAGGAAATGTCTTGCAGATGGCAACACAGATGTTCCTGTTGTGTCTCAGTTTTTGGAAACAAAGGTTGCCACCCTGAAAGGCATGATATAAAAGAACCACAGACTGTTTTGCTAGGAGGGATGCCAAAGAAGCAAAATTTAGTACTTGCACATCCTTTAACTTAATGGTGAGGATAAAGAGCATCATAACTTTCCACAATGAAAAAACAAAGTAGAGGAGGGTAAACTGGGCAGTTCACAGAAAATAATTTTTAAAGGATGTCCTAAGAGACTCTGGAAGAACTCAAAACCAAATCTCTTGCCAACTGCTATGGGATAACCCCAGCCAGCAACTAAGTACCATGCAGCAACTTTGCTCACCTCCCTCACCTCTCCCAGAGGAATAAATCAGGAAAAAAAAAAAAGGTAAAACCTGTGGGTTAAGAAAAGTTTAATAACAACAACAAAAAAATCTTTGAAAAATAACTGTAATGAATAGGGACAGAACAAAAGACAGATAAATAAACCCCAGAATGACAATGATGCACACTACAGCTGCTCCCCACCTGCTGACCAACACCCAACCCTTTCCTGCGCAGCCATCAGTGCTCCCAGCCACCTCTGCACAGTTTATACACTGGGCAAGATGCTCTATGTTGTGGAATGTGCCTTTGGCTACTATGGGTCAGTGTCCTGGCCATGCTCCCTCCTGGCTCCTTGTGCACCTCCTCACAGGCAGAGATAGAAACTGAAAGCTGCTTGATTGGGAATGAGCAGCCTTTAGCAACAACTACAACATCAGGGTGTTATCAGTGCTGTTCT